AAGCAGTTTTGCTGCCATCAGTCCCATGTGGCCAGGACACATCTGGAGAAATGACATGCACAGGAACACCTAATTTCCTTCTCTTACAAGAAAAGAAATGGGGAGCAGGTGCTGCTCACACAAGAGGAACCATGGTCAAACCACAAGTCCCTCCTGGCTTTGCCAAGGGACAAGGATGCTGCACTGCCAGAACTAAGGGCACGCCAGGACTGCAGCAGTGGCACACCAGGTCCTGCTCAGAGAACTGAAAACTGGCTCCTAGTGTCCCACAGTCTGCTTTAGCCAAGCAGGATAGTCTCCATGGGCATATGGATTGGACATCTCTGAAAAAAAAAATAAGAATTGCTTGATATTTAATTGCAGGGTTGGCAGGTGTTTCCGTGATGTACAGTGTATGGAATAAAATTACAGGGACAGCATCAATAAACAGTATAGACAGTTTTCATCAGGAATTAGCCAAGGATTTAGAGAAAAAGCATCGTGGGGCACACAGAGTGCTTGCGGTATTAGCATTATCTCTGCACACACAGGACAGCACTCGTTACAAATACCTGAATGAATCATCTAATGGATGGGAATGCAGGACACTCGAGCACTAGCTGGGGTCCTGTGCTCATGGAAACACTGCTGAGGGCTCAGCTTATCTCTCAGAAGCACAGAGCTTCTAAAACTCTTATTTTTCTAGAGTATCTCTGGACAGTGGAAAATAAAAACTGGAAAAAGCCAGAAACAAAATTGCAGCTGAAGAGTTTCAGATTCAATGAAAGGATTCAATTTAGCTTAGGATGCTAATTTTTATTTAAAAGCTGCAGCAGTCTCAGAGTGGATTTCACAACAGAGGTCAGGCTCTGAGCTTGTACAGGGCTCTGCTCCCAGCAGCACAGGCAGGTCCCAAGGACATGCCAGCAGGGATGTGATGGAAATGCTGGAGCTGTGTCTGAGCCTTGCAGCTTCATAAATCTGTGTAACCCCTGGAGGAGGAAGGATGTGAGACTTCCTGGGGAGCTGGCAACTTCCCAGAAGCCTTCCCTCTCCCCAGCCTTCTATCCAGGGGCTGCAGCACTGCAGTGTTAATGCACACCCAAATAACTCTTTTCTTCCTGTGGGTGGGAGTGTTTTACACAAACCTCCTCCTGTGCTGCCTCTCCCACCAAGAACCTGCAAGGATTTAGAACTGAGACCACCATAGGGCTTTCCTGAGAAAATAAAATGCTCCTGTTCTTCCTTTGTTCCTTTGTGGGAATCAGAAAAACAGAAATATCTACAGACACGGAGGAGTTTAATCTGCAGCCTTGTAAGGAGCTTGGATTGATGCAAAAATAAAGTACACAGACATTAAGTAGAACAATCATAAATTTATGTTTCTATAGCTGTAAGTAAGAATATACCTTAAGTAAGAAACTGTATTGATAAGAGTGAAGGGTTTATAATGTAGAGGTGTGGTTGTACAGAGTGGAAGAGAGTTCTAAGAACTCTGTAGAGTTTTCTTGTACTTATAGTTCTTAGAGAGTACTGTAAGTACAAGTTCTAACTTCTTAGAGTTTAGAAGTTATAATTGAAGCATATGAGTGTAAGTGTAACAAAAGCCTATTAGACAAAAGTATCCACAGTGCAGTAGGAATAAGTAAAGGTGATAGGTTAGAAAAGCAAAATACACCTTGTGGCAACTGTTCATTAGACTGGAAAGCTCTATATTGTGTTGTAACAAGGAACTTGTGACTACTTTGAGCTCTGGCTGACTGCTTGCTCCCTTAAAATCTCACAGCCTCTAAGACTGATGTATCTGAGCAAGAAATGGTTCTTAGACTTAGAACAGTCCCATCCATTCATTACCAGCAGCAATGATGGTATTACTTGACTTCAGGCATACGTGTGAGAAGGTTTGTGACCTGCTTGCTTTCCTCCTTCCCACCTCTGTCCCCATGGAGCTGTGCTGCTGCAACATTCAACCAACACTGCCAGCACAGAGAAGGAGCACGGTGCCCTGATGGACTCCTTGGCCACCAAACCTGCCACTGGAACAGCTAAGGTGGGACATAAAGTACTTTTCATGCTTCTTATTCCCTGAAAATGACATGGAGACCACGTAGCTCTTGTCTGTGTGTTTTACTTCACCAAGCTGCCTCACAATCTCCCCATAAAATGCAATTTGCCAGACACAGTGAACACAAACTACCTCAGCTGAATCCTTTCATTCGGTGTCCATGGCTGCAGCAGCACCATAATGAGTTTGTGCAATATCAATATGCACTATGCTAAACAAGCACAAATCAGAGACTATCCAAAGGAAACACCAAGACAGAATCAGACAAGTGCAGCTAGAGAGCTCTGACAGCATTTCAGTTCCATGTGATTCCTGTAGCTGACAGCCATCTGTACTGAGCTATGCACAGCAGATGCACTATTACCTTAAAGGGGTGATTGTGTTATGTTTAAATCAATCTTCACTAAAAGAATAGTGAGTGTACTGAGAAACTGACTGCTTCACAAAGGCAACAGGAATGTATGTGGCTTTCTGCACACGTGTTACCTCCAGAAAACAGCTCTGCAAAGGAAACCAGGAGTGCAGGGCTTCCAGCTCAGCCCTCTCTGACCTCTCTGTCTGATCTGGGTCAGACAACTTGGCTCACAAGCTGCAAACTTTTGGCAAAAGGTAATTCCAGCTTTGTTTAAATGCTAGATTGTTGTACAATGCCAGAGAAAAACTCCCAGCAAGTTACTGAAAAGTGGATACAGTCTTGCTACTGTCATTAAATTGAATTTCAAAGCAAAGTTCCCACTGTCTTTAGTGGTACGAGATCACAGTTTCAAACCAAGATGGGAAATTGTGAGCTGAGGCAAGGAGAAGTCTCGTCAAGAATGTGATAGAGTCTCTCTGTATGGCAAAAATAAGGCCTGGGGTCTCTTTCTGCAGCTCTGCTGAGCTCCAGATCACATGTGTGCAAACAGCTGAAATGGTGTGCTTTGAAGCTGGGAAAAAGCTTTGTGAAAGTTATTTAAATTTTCATGTAATAACACCACCATCACTAATGATAATATTAGAAATAAATGCCTGTGTTTTCATTCCATGAATATCCCAGTGACCATGCTGGCTGCCCAAATAACACATTGTAAATAAATCTTTCAGAATATTAACTCTGGGATTTTTATTGGAATCCCTCAGCTCTAGTGGGCTCCTCAACTGGGCTGGCACCAAAACAGAGGGCAAAGGGAGCTGTTTAAAAAGCAAGTACATTTTTCTACTGAGCTTTCTCCTTTAAATGTATCCCAGTGTTTCCAGCAAATATGGGAGTGGGATGAATGTAACAAAGCCCCTGTGTCAGAGCCTGCCCTCTCAGCCCTGTGCTGGTTTAAGTGGCAGTATTCCACTGTGGCAAACCAAGCTCCAGTGATTTACATCCCTGTGACAGTGAGCACCTTCCAAAGGTAACTGCTGTCCTTCCCTTCTTTCCTCAGAAGTTGGCAGGAAAGGAACAATCTCTCCAGAGGTAGTAAAGCTGACCTATTTCAGATCACCATCAATTAACTCTTGTAGCCACAAAAAGAAAGTTTCTCTCTTATTATTAAATTGTGCATTGTCCCTACTTCACTGTCATTCAGTGATGCAGGGGAAATGCTGCTTGAATCCAGACATCTCCAGTTTCCTTGCCTTTAAAACAGCAGCAATTTCCTTTCAAACTGACTATTAAGATCAGATTTGTCTTCCTTATTCCCAGAAAGCCCTGATTTCCTCAGGAGAGGGTAAGAAGCTTCCTGCAGGTATGGCCAGAGCATGGACACTGGCTCAGGTTATACACTTTGCTCTTTCACTCACCTTTTCCCTGTCTCACATGCTGTACTCAGCTCACACCTGGGTATGAATTTGGAGCCACCTCAGCTAAGGATAAATGTCCAAAAGTGTCTAAACCATGAGGAATGAACGGCAGCATTTCAAAGGGACTATACTCAGTGTTTAAACTGTGACTCTGGACCAAAAGGAGGCTGCAGAGAAAACAAGTCTAGTTAAAACACACCTGATGCCTGTGTGAATGCCCTCACATTAGCAATGCATTTCACCATCTCTTGGTTATGTGAGAAGGGGTGGCAAGTGAAATGTTGAAAGGTTAGAGCCAAGCACAGGAACAGGCAGAGGAGGGAAAACAGATTCCAGACACCTGGCTTAGCTCCTCACCTGCAGCAAGGCACAGACATGTAGGACAGGATTCAACACCCCAGAGCTGCCACAGCAGGGCAGAGACTGCTCTGCAGCTGTCAGGAGTTAGTGGGTAGAGAAAGACACCTCCAGAAGGGAACTCATCCCACTGGAAATGCCCCAGGTAGGCAGCAGTGTTCACCCATGCTGCTCCAGTACCACGAAATGAAGTCTGGGGGAATAGCTCAGATTGTATCCCTATCCCTTAGATGGTTGGAGTTCTGTGAGCTGAATTCCCCTGAGCACTCTCTGTGCCTCAAACCCCATGTGCAACGAAGAGCATCTCCTCCCCTGACAGGGAGGGTGCACAGCTCAGCCTGCCAGCATCTGCCATGTGCTCAGCACAAACACACATTTGGGAAGGGGGGCTATGAAAGCATCAGATGCAAACAGGAAAAGGGGCTGGCTTGGAAATCTGCCTCCATTCACAAAAGCTACATTATCTGCACACTCCAGCTGCCCTCAGTTACTTCAGTGCCAAGAGAACAGGATGGCAGCACCAGGGCTGTGCACTTCCTGGCCACGTCACAGTGCAGATGCAGCACTGCTTGACTTCAGGAGCCTCAGCTGTGCTTTCAGGACAGGCAGCTCAAGCTGAGCCTTTGTTCACTCAAGGCTGGGCTATTAATTTAGAATTCACTGAGGCACAATGAACAGGGGGCCCAGTGACAACATTTTTATAGCCACTCTCCTTACAAAGGGAGCTTGTAATTCCCAAGGCAGTGCTGGCCTCTGTTTGATTGGTGTACTTAAATCTCCACCTGTGCTTTTATAATAACCAATATTTTCTGCCAGAGCTTGCTCTTACCCTGTTGGAATCAATTCTTGTCCTGGAGGTGTAGATGGGAGGAGGAATGTTGAAGGCTTGAGGAACAAGATACTCTTCAGCATCCATCATATCTTCCAGGTCTTCTTCGTCAAGAAGATTTTGGAAGAACTTGCTGTCATTTGGGCTTGGGAGCTTCATACGATCATCTCCCTGAACAGATTGTATTGAGAGAGGAAAAACATCAAAAGATGGATTAACTTCCCAAAGAGAGAATTTCAGCCTTCCTACTGCCCTGGCAGCCAGGCTGCAGGGACCACACATGCTGCTTTGTTTGTTCAAAAGCACTATATCCACATAATTTGTGGGTTTGTTTTGTTGCTTTTTTTTTTTTAAACTGGGAATATGATGACAAAAACGAGTAACTGCATGAATCAAGCAAAACCATGCTTGTGGCATTCTTGTGATTGAGCTTTTATTCTTTCTTCTCTCTTTTTCCCATACAAGATAAGTTTTTGACCCAAGTTCTGACATATTCTGTGAAATATCTCAGCTATTTAGCCTCAAATAGGAGGGGTGGGGAATGAGCAAGGAAACTGTTGTCTGGATGTTTGTTTTTTAAAAAAAAATTTGTAGTTTAAGGGATTTAGAGGGTAAATTTCTCTTTTATCTGTATGGAAAGTTCTGCAGAATGTAAGAGAGCTGAAAACAACAAAAACCAAACCAGGGAACAATAGTGCCTTGAAATAACTCCTAGGAACTGGGGAGGGAAATCCTGGCTGCATTTTGTTGGTGTCACAAAACACCACAAAAGGCAGTCCATGCCACAAACACCTATCAGCCTGTAGAAACACTGCTGAACTCCACTGGCTGGCTGGACAGTGGCCTCCCACTCCTCAGGAATTATTATGGCCCATGTGGAATCCAGCAGGGAATGATGATGGCTGTGCTGTGGGGTGCACACAGACCCATTTAAAAGCTCAACAGCAGCTCCGGCATTGTGGATTGCACCTGGGAGGCGTGGGAGTGCTGATGGCAGAGGCACCAGTGCAATGCAGTGACCCTGGTTTGTTCCCCTGGAGCTCACATTGTCTGCAAGGAGCACTGGAGAGAGGGTGAAACACCCACCAGACCATGCAACAGGGGAGGGAAGGGCAGGGGCAGAAATGGAGGAAAGAGGATATTCTTATTCTTTGGAATAAGGAAACATGTCCTGTTAAACAAAGTCATTTAATCAGGCTGGTTTTTCCAGAACCAGCTGAACTTACAATTTACCACAGTGGAGAATACTGCAAGAGGAATTCCTCATTCAGCACCAAAATTCTTCTTGACTCATATTTTGCTTTCCAACCATATTTCCCTTGTGCTGAAGCTGAAGGGGGGCAGGATGATTCATGGTGTGCAGGAACACACCACAAGTCAGCTGGCAGCTCTACCCAGTGAACTCAAACACCACATGGGACTGGTACTGGACCCATTTGGGACACATGAAGTGGCACTGGCTGCACTTCTGGAGGCTCTTCCAGTAGGAATGCTTATGTCAGTGTGGAGCTGAGGATCAGCTCAGTGCACCTCTGCTCTGTGCTCCATGAAGTGGAGCAGATACAGCATGAGGTAGAGCAAGAGAATATCATTCCCTGGATCAAACTATCCCATGCTCTGCTATCTGGTGTTTTACTACCAGCAGAACCACAGCTGGCACTGCAGGAGGGCTGAGCCACCATGGAATGGGACTGTGCCACCACCCTGAAACACAGGGGGTCAGGGCCTATTCCGACTCTGGCAATGTTGTTTTTTATTACTGCATTTTTTACTTTATTTTTCTTTTCTGCTTTAGTAGAGAACTGATATTCTTATTCCCATATCTTTGCCTGAGAGCCCCTTAATTTCAAAACTGTAATAATTTGGAGGGAGGGGGTTTACATTCTCTGTTTCAGGGGAGGCTCTTGCCTTCCTTAGCAGACACCTGTCTTTTCAAACCAAGACACACCATCACCTCACCTTTAAGTTTTCATTCTCCTTTGAACTGTTCACACAGTGGGTCCTTACCTGAGAACCTTACACCTTCTGTGGCTGGAGTCTGAGCTGCAATGAACACATGCACAAGTCTAGGCTGCCACAGAATTAGGGAAGGACACATACCTGCACATACAGCTCCAGCTACCTGTACTCACCAGCTGCCACAGAGCAGTTTCATGGGATGAACCCATGAAGGATGAACCCTTCACAACCCTGCCATGGGGATCTGAAGCCTCCAGAGCCCTCAGAGGGGCCCAGAGGAGAACAGAGAGAGAAGCTCCTCCCTAGCATTAGCAGTACCAGTGTGACACAACTCACTGTGTTCTAAGAAACTTTCATGTTTAGGCTGTGAAAAGAATCCTGCTTGTGATCTCAGCAGTGCAGGGGAAAGACTCAGCCTAATCAATTTTAGAACCAAGGAAGTCCTTGGTCTAAAAATAGATCCACTGTCCGCCAATGGATGAAATTTGTAATTTGTTCATGAGGGAATGCAAAGCACTGAGCAGCTTGTGAAGGCAGAAACTGTATATGTGCTCATGAACACAAGCTTGGGAAATGAATTTCAGAGTGTTGTATTATTAATATTATTATTTTTGAGATACTGACACTGCCCATTCTACTCCATGCTTGTTTAACACCGTGGTCACTATTTGCTTTAGGTTCAAGAGCACCTTGCACTTTAGAACATCCAAAGCCAACACCCCTAACAGTTGGGTGCTGCAGAAAAACTAGGTTTTCCCACCCACCCCTGTGATGCTGCAGGGTTGCTCACCTGAATTACCAGGTATCTCTGAGGGTCTCGAGCCATTCTAGAGAATTCAGCAGCCAGCTCCTTGAATTTTGGCCGACTGTCAGCATCAATCATCCAGCCTGGAAAGATGAGAAAGAAAACAGTTAAGTGTTAAGGGTGGAAACAATTCTGTTTCTTCAAATGCACAAGTTTGAAGTATTTGATAGCTCTGGCCCAAAGAAAAGTTGCAATAAAGAACCCAGAAGAATGGAAAGTTAGAATTCTGTGATGCATAAAAGGGGAAACACCTGGGTTTGGCCAGACTAGGTTGTTCCTTACTGCACGGAATCTTCCTTAATTTGCTGGGCTCCTCTCTGTCCCAGAGGCAGAAACACTACCTTGCAATTTTCTCCATCTTGCACACTTGGATACCAGCCCTGACTGACTTTGATTAAGGATGTGTCTCACCACATGGTACATTTTTGCACTCAGCAAAGCCCTTGCACAATTTAATTTCCACATCTCCATGCACAGTACAACTGTTTTCAGAAGATACTTAATTTACTTCTAGTTGTCCTTTCCTTTTTTTTTTTTTTTTTTTTTTGCAGGGCTTTTATATACAAAGCAAAAGGGAAAGGAGTATATATGATGGATGAGATGTCTGTATGTTAATCTCACTTAAATTAAGCCAGAAATATCAGAGAGATATTTCTAATTCTTTTTAAATTAGAAGCATAACCTTGGACGATACTGTCATTAGAGGGGGGTATCTTGGAGATAAAAAAGTTGGAAGAAACCATGTGCAGACTTTTTTTCCTTTTTTACTAGAGTAAAAATATTCATAAATTTTTGTACTGGACTAAGAATGATAAAAAAATAATCCTCTCTGTAGCATTTCTTCTATTAATTTTACTTTTTATTATTACTACTTCAATCATCATTCTTGCTACTAACAATAAAACCTTCGTGATTTCTTCCTTCAATATTTGGAAATGGGGTTTCTCCTCACAGCCTTCTCTGGCTGGGTATCCATGTGCCATAATTATTTTTAATACTATCTTTTTTACATCAGAATCAATTGTCATGGAAATGACAAGGGTTTACAATAACAATCATACAATTTTGACTTCACAGGAAGAATATGAGATAACATCTGACAGTAATAAGAGGCTGAGCTAACTCGGCCCTTCATAGCTAACAATTGCAAAACTGCAGAAGATGTGCAGACAGTGTTTAAATGGAATTTACAGTATCTTGGGCAGCTTTTGTTTTGCAGCAGCAGCTTGCCCTGTTTCCCAGCTCTGTCAGAGACTACCTATGCAAATGTTCTAAACCAGGGTCCCTCCTGCAGGCAGCACAGGGGTATCAGAAGTGACAATTCCTTACACTTCACCATCACCATATAAACATCAATAGTGCAGATCGGGGGCTGGGGCAGGCGCTCTCCCTTCTCCAGGAGGTCAGGGATCTCTCGAGTTGGGATTCCATCGTATGGCTTCCCACCAAAGGTCATCAGCTCCCAGATGGTCACTCCTAGGAGAAGAAAGATTATCAGTGTTTGGGGACACCACTGAGATTCCCTCACAGCAGAGCAGCCTGGTCTAGTTCTGGACTGCAATCCCTTCTTTTACTTGAAAACTGAAGTTTGGACTGAGGGGATATAGGAATGTGCCCCCTGTTAGTGGAGTGACAAAACTATCTTTTGTCCTCTTAAAAAGGAAAGAAGCCCAAAAGTTTCTCTCTTTGATTAGGTGAAAAGGCATCTCATAGGACCTGGGGGACTTGAACTCAAACTTAAGTACAGCCAATTGGACAGGAGTGAAAAAGTCCCACCTGGGCAATTTACCGGAAAAAGAAGAGAACCAAGAAACTAATGGCTTTTGTGAGGTGTTTTACCAGGAGCAAGAGGGCCTCTTGCACTTGGATCAGTTTTTCTCTGTAATTTTGCCTTTTATTAAAACCTTTTTGTTTCCAACACTACCACAGGAGCCATCCTGCTGCACTTCACCTTCTAAGGTAGGTGAGCTATCTTGGGTGTGAAACATATCTCCAAGAGCTTATGAGAGCTGGCTCGAGGAGGCTCCTATTTCAGGGGGACAGGAGGAGTTGAGCAAGTGGCTACACAGTGCTCAGCTGCCAGCTGGCCTTAAACCATAACAGTCTGCCACTTAAAAACTCTGGAAAATGGTGAAACAGCACTTTGTGGTAATCTTCAAAAGAAACTTCCCTCATTTTTATTGGTGTAAGAAAAGGACTGATAGACCTGAGGCACATGAGGAAGGTCTGAGACAAATGAAGGGTGGTAAAGTAAATGGGTGCAATACCAAAAGAATGAATCACACTCTTTTATCAAAAAGGGAAATGAGTGCCTGATCTACTCTATTATTTTAAGGGGAAAAAGCACAGATGTTCCTTAAATTAGAGCACCAATTTCTCACGAAGGTACAGCACTGAGTAACACGAGGTCATTGGCTTTCCCTTGGAAGCCATTCACAGCCACTGCTATCATTTCTTCCCTTAAATCACCTTATGCATCTGAGTTTATGATACTGCTGCACTACAGACCCAAGATTCTCTTTTTGAAAAGCCATTGAATTTGTTTTGGCTTCAGAGCTGGAAATAAAGATCATCTATCATAAGTAAAAGAATTTGTGCCTGAACAGAATCTTAAATATTGCAAATGCTGCTCCCACACTGTTTTGTTTAACTTTTATTTGAATTGCAAAGGTCATTTTAAGCATGCCTCAGATCAGTACCATATTTTGACAACTGTCATGCTAATGTGAAAAGTGATGGGCAAAATTACCACATGAGTAAACCACATTTATTTCACCCTCATTCATCTCCTTGCTGATATTAAATAACTATTGTTAATATTGTTAACTACTGTCAAATGTTTATGGTCTTTTCCTTTCTGATTATAGATGTTCTGGGCTTCCTGCCTATAAAATGAATTTCATAAATGAAGGCGTATTTTTTTTTCCTGAGTGATCCAGGGTATGCAGAATTTAAAGAGAAAGAGCAGCTTTACAAGATCAATGGAACTCTCCCAGGCTCTTTTCAGCTGACTAGAAAAGGGCAGCTACCCAGCCACAGCAAACAGTGTCTTTTGCTGCTACCCACAGGTAAAAGTGAGTAATGAAGAGAGCTGTACACCCTTTTGGTTCAAAATGGAAATAGGACTCCATAGCCCCAATACTGCTGCAAATTTCCATCTACGAAGGTACACATGATTTTATTAATAATAGCTGTACCTGATAAACAGGCAGAGACCTCAGCAGATGTGGCAAACAGCTCATCTGAATAACCATTAGCAACACTGAAGGAATACCTCATTTCTCAAATATGACTTTTTCTCTGTGTGTGTAGCTCACCAATTCCCAAGTTATCTGTGAAATTAAATGGATGCTTGTTCTAGTTAGTTTGGAGAGCTTGTCTCTTCCTTTTCTTTCTCTTGCCATATTTGCTCTGTATTATGACAAATTCCCTTTTATCTGACTCTAGGTAGAGAAAGTCCCATAAGCCTGAAAATGTTTTTTGACATTCATGGCTTTTAGAGTTGAGCTTTTCAAAGACTGCTGAAAATTGTGACCTGCAGCTGTATTTTTATGAATCCATGGCTAAGCTGAAAGAGGTCTTCTTCTGTCATAATAATCAGCCAAACTGCTACCAGACCAGACCTGGAGGCACTCACCCCAGCGGGGAACATCATGATAATATATTTCAGTGAGCAGGGAAGTAACACAGGAGACAGTAACAATTGCTGCTTAGAGTTACACATTTAAAGGAAAAAAAAAAAACCAAAACCTGAAGAGCAAATGCCTCTGGAATTAACTCCTTTGAGAGAAGAGGATATCTTTAACACACTAACACAACTTGGTTTAATGCTTTAAAAGACACAACTTTTTAAACTAATCACATGCAGATTTACCATAGCTCCACACATCACTCTGATGGGTGAATTTCCTGTAGTGTATGCACTCCAGAGCCATCCACTTAATTGGCATCTAGGGAAGGACAAGAGAAATGTAACCTTAGAAATACATTATTAGAACAATACAAACAGATCCTGTATGAAGATAACTTTCTCCCTGCCTCCTTCAATGGTGAGATTGAAAAAAAAAACCAAAAAAAACAGAGGAAATGGCTGTTCCTGCCCTCTAGAATGGGCTGTGCCTCATAAAACTTGGAGGTGAGAGAGATGAACCAGTTACCTGCAGAACTTGTGATGTTTACACAGAAGTAATGGAATAACCTGTGTTTTAATCAAACCTTTTAAAGAGGGACCAACTCAAAAATTGCATATACTCTCCTAAATCTGAAGTGCAGCAGAGAAGGTAGAATGCAGGAGCTTTTATTCCTCAACAGTTTGCAATCTCTGCAATCTGAGATAGCAACACTGCCATCTCAGCTGCTCTCTAATGAGACCAGGTTACAATGCAGGAACAAAAACACTTCACCATCCCCATCATCATCATCATCATTATGATGGTAAGCAGGCAACGAGGAGAATTTGCAGCGCTTTATTGTTAACTCCCAATATTTGTTAGAAACCATCCCAGGAGCTATCTCAGCTCTCTGTATCAGCACAGCAGTGGGAAAAGTTGCTCCCCAAACTAAGTCAGCAGCCCCACATTCATTCCTGTGTCAGTGAAGCATCTTTCCTGGCAGAGAAGGTGTGCAGGCAAACCAAACCTTGTTCCTGCATTCCAGCCCATCCTCTTGAGTTCCTGTAAAAATGGGATTCATGGTGTTTCCCATTCCTGAGCTGGGCTCAGCAGGCACAGCTGATACCTCAGGTTTTAGCTTTTACATTTTTCAGATTCTGTGCTGCTTTAGTGTGTAATTCTGAGCTTCATATGAGGGGATGGTGAGCTCTCTGCACTGAGTAGGGAGACAAAACAATTCCTGCTCTAGCTGGGGACCAAGGACAAATGATCCAGATCTCAGGCCCAAGAGCATAAACAATGTGAACTGAAGAGAGAAAAACAAGAAGGATGGGACTTGATGGGCTAAAGCTGTAATTGGACAATTAACTCCAATATGCAAATGGACCAAAACTTATAAAAGTGAGAGACCTCATGACCGGTTGTCCATTTTGTGACCATTTTGGTTCATTTTGGGCGCAGCCCTGGCTGGGCTCTTGTGCTGCCCACGGTGGATCCATTGAGGTCTTTTAATAAATCCCTACTTCATTCTTTAAGTCTGTTTGGTCTCTGTTGTAGGTCAGCTTTTACAAGGCCTCACAGCCTTGCAGTTTGTGAATTTCTCATGGACAAGCATTTAGGAGATTTTTTTACCTGGCAGGGACTCGAATGGGTTGCCTCCCATTTGGAATTATGGAAGAGGTACTGGAATAAACCAAAGGGATGAGTAACTGCAGGAAAAATCTGAACAGATGGTGGGTGTAAAAGCAGAGGATGTGTCTTCATTCAAACCCTTATGAAACTACCTTCCATGAAGTTCACTAATGAACATAACCTATAGAGTTAAGGCAAAAATAGCACCTTGTAATAAAGGCTGCCTTAACTCTTGCAAAGACAGTTCATCCTCCCCCACTAAACTCCGCAGAAGTGCACTGCTTTCATTCCCATTGTATCCCAGAAGTGAACAGTAGCTGAAGGAGCAAAGCTGCCTTGCTCATTATGGGATAACTCAGGTTGGAAGTGATTCAGGAGGCCTCTAGTCCCACCTCAGGGTCCCAGCAGGTTCAGCTACCTAGGAGATTAGGCCAAGTTGCTCAGAGATTTGTCCAGTCTGGACTTGAAAACCTTCAAGGATGGAAACTGCACCATCTCTGTTGACAACCACTTGATTGTCCACTCTGAACCTCCCTAGCCTGCTCTCAATACTGATTTCATAAGATGTTTTTCTGGACCTGGGAAGTGATACAACTGCCATAAATCCTGCTCCAGAGCTCTCAGCAGGGTAACAAGTTCAAGACACAGCTGCCAGGGAACAGCTGGTTTGCAAAGATCAACTCTTTTTTCTGTCATTCACTGTCAGATGGAGGGAAGAGGCTGAGGGGTTACCAAGAAGAGGATTAAGGAAATGAGGGAACAGGGGAAGCTGTCAAAACCCCACCTTTCCTGCCAGGAGGTATCTTCCCATGGGGAAATAGGAAAGCACTGGTGGCTCCTCTCAAGCTCTTCACCTCCCTGACTGACCTGGCCAGGTGATCCAAGGGCAGCAGCCACACAAACAAGGCAGCAGCTCATCCTAGAGAGCAGCACACGCTGCCAACAGCTGTTTGTCCCAGACAAGGGCATGAGTGAGCACAAAAAAAACACAGATAGCAAGGAGACAGAAAGCAAACTGAACATCCAGGAAAGGAATGACAGGTGAAGCAAATCCTTTGGGATTCTGTGACAGACTGAAATGGGGAATTTCAAGATGTTTAGGGAGCAGCAAGAAGCACCACCTACTTACTGCCTTCTGAATTTTATGATGCATTAATCTGAAATTGGCAGAAATGAGGTAAGGCACTACATGGCAATGGTGTGGTTTGCTGGAAAGTAATAGGGGAAAAGACCTGGTTTGAAAATTATCCTCAGGCTGGCTTTTAGTGGACTGGCATTCAGCATGGTATTGGAGAGGTGGGCAGAAGACATAACTACACAGGCTCTTCCAATGTGATAGAAGAGCTAAATTCACATGTTCCGTGGCCTTCCCTTTTGTCTTCACAAAAATTACTTGTCTGGGAAAACGGGACTGCACGTTATTGAGGTGGATACTGGTCAGGGAAAGAGGTGGGGCAGGAATGCCCCAGAACATCCATCACTCATTGAGCCAAAGTATTCTAAACAAGACACACCTGGAGCACGTAAAAAAAAAGGTAATTCTGAGTGTGCAAACTGCTTGTGCAATTATAGCTCAGTGCCTGGAAAAGCTCACTGTGGAAAAAACAAGCAGCTTTTGTGTGTGCTTTCACAACAGGGTCCTTCTGCAAGGCTTTGCTCAGTCACTGACAGACTCTCTTCTCTCTTACACAGACAACAGTCCCACAGGGACCGACTGTCACATTCATATTTTCTGAAAAATCCCTTCGCCCAGGATTTTTCTCCTGGGAAGCTGAGAAGCCTCAGAGAAAAAGGAAAACAATAATGATCTCATTTGCTTCTCCTGTGTTTTGCTGCTTTGGAATGAGTTTGGAGATTGTTTACCCACAGGTGATTGTTTCATTGGATTCTGCTATGAGTTGTTTTGTCTCATTGGCCAATCAGTGCCAAGCTGTGTCAGGACTCCAGAGAGAGTCACGAGTTTTCATTATTCACATTCATATTTTCTGAAAAATCCCTTCGCCCAGGATTTTTCTCCTGGGAAGCTGAGAAGCCTCAGAGAAAAAGGAAAACAATAATGATCTCATTTGCTTCTCCTGTGTTTTGCTGCTTTGGAATGAGTTTGGAGATTGTTTACCCACAGGTGATTGTTTCATTGGATTCTGCTATGAGTTGTTTTGTCTCATTGGCCAATCAGTGCCAAGCTGTGTCAGGACTCCAGAGAGAGTCACGAGTTTTCATTATTATCTTTTTAGCATTCTGTAAGTATCATTTTTGTATTCTTTAGTATAGTTTAGTATAGTATTCTTTAATATAATATGGTATCATAAAATAATGAATTGGCCTTCTGAGAATATGGAGTCATATTCATCCTTCCTTCCTTCATCAGGGCACCCCGCAGATACAATAACTGACCTAAGGAGAGCTTCAGGAGCTTTGTCACAGCATGGCAGATTTACCTCCAGACATGTTCAGTGCTCACCTTGCCCCCATCAGCATTGTACTCCTTTTCATCTCCTTCCAGAAGTCTGGCCAGGCCAAAGTCAGTGATCTTCACGTGGTTTGGTGATTTCACCAGGACATTACGGGCTGCCAGGTCCCGGTGGACGAGTCTCCTCTCTTCCAGGTACATCATTCCCTGGAGGAAGAAGAACAGTACAATAATGCTAATTAGTCTTGCATGGTTTTGGAGAGCTAACTTTCACTGGTGACACGTAAAACGGATGGTACAATGATGAGTATTTACAATGAGAAAATGGCCTAGAGGGGAGAAGTTCAACATTGCTCTTGCTCTGAACAGGAGGCAGGATTAGATGACCTTGAGTTAGTCCAGTATGAATGATTCTATAAGATTCAATTACCAAAGAGAAAAAAACCAACAAAATAACATATAGATAGCTCTTTTGCTTCAGCAAGCTTAAAATCAGGAAACGTGAGACAAAGAAAAGAAATATTATGGCCCTTGTTCTTCAGACAGGAAACCTGATGACCATAAAAAATAATCAATTTAGCCCAAGCCCCCCAGAAATTAAACTACACAGGGAAACAATCCCAGCTCTGTCACATTCCAGACAAGTGTCTTTAATTCAAGACAAAGATTTTTGTCCATCTTCAAATGGTTTTTAAGTTGGTCACAAATTTGCACTATCCTCAGTGGACTAGAAGGAAAACAATTCTTTATTCCAAGTGCTCCAACTCCCTCACCTTTTCACTCCCTTAAAATATTGCCAGTAGTATTATAATAAGGCATTAGATCAATGGCCCTTTTTTATGAGCATATATATTCAGTTAGAAGTATATTCTGTTAACAAGCCCATCCAGCTGCCTTTAAAGATAAGGTAACATATACTCAAACTGCCTGGCCTTAACCTTATTCTCATTCTGATGGGAGACTAACCATCCACCAGCAGTATGAAAATTTGCACCATGCTTTGTGACACTGAGATCAACACCAAAGCTTGGTCTTATTAATTATATAACACACAAAGGATAGTTGGGCAGGGTTACAAGCCTATAATTTCATTAAAAGGCATTTATGACATTAACCACCATTATTAGAACTTAGAGATGAAATCACACACTTGACAATTGCCTTTAAGGTATCTCTTAATATATTAGCTCTGTATAATATATATGATAATTTTTAAAAAGTCATTGCTGAATACCAAAGAGATCATATTATCCCATAATACAGATGATAATTCAGAGAGTCACATGTAATGATTAAAATAACCAGATTACTCAGTGCCATGGGCCAGATTTGATTATCCCTGCACAGCCTGAGGAGCTCACAGGTACCTGTCCCCATGGACTCTGGACCCAGCCCTGCACAGGGTGCCCAGGGAAGATGTGGCTGCCCCATCCTGGAAGTGCCCAAGGCCAGGCTGGATGGGGCTTGGAGCAGAAAACAGCAAAACATGCTTGGAGCAGCCTGGGATAGTGGAAGGTGGCCCTGCCCATGGCAGGGGGTGGAACTGGATGGCCTTTAAGGTCCCTTCCACCTCCAGGATTCTATCAAAGTGCATATCTATGCAAAAAAGCATCAAATGGAGCCCTAAACTGGTTTTAGGTGAAAGATTTCAATGCAAACACCAGTAAAAACTTTGAAAATATGTGGCAGAATGTTTGACGTAAACAGTATTTCATGCAGTCCACATGAAGGGCTTTTAAAGAGGACACAGGGACACTTTGGCATAAAGCAGCTGAAGTTATTCTTTAGAAGCACTGCTACTTGAAGCAAACACACCCTCCTGCCAAGTGCAAATCAATATTTTTGGCTTTTGACCATCAGAATTGTAAGCCTTTAAAAGAATAATGGGTTTTGACATCAATGTTTTTTGACATCAAATTAAAAGTGCTAGAAAAAAAGACAAATCTCATGGGCTGAACAATTGTGAGTCACACAAGAATCACACCATGGTACCAGCTGCTGGGGGAATTCTGCTGGCATCAGAATATCTCAGGCCCAAATAAAATTATAATTTTTAATAGATTAACTTGTACCTATCAGCACTGAAAAAAATATGGAAATATTGCAGATTGCTTTTGGCCAAAAGGAAAATACAGAATTTGTCTTGTGAAAATCAAAAGAGATGAGCTGTACCAAAGCTTTAGCCTCCTGTTTCTAGTCAAAGATGGCAGGGATGGATGGTAAGGTGTGCAAAAACATCCTTCCCTGAAAGAGCTACACAACCAAATTCTTAACCATGCCTCTTTGGTCTTATTTTGCTGTCTCTAATTTCAAGCATTTTTTTAAACCTATAAGCTAAAGATTTAGGACATTTCAGTGTTTATTCTATTCATTCATTTCCATTTATTCCATTTTTGTGCTATTATTTAGTGTCACTTTAGCAAGATTCTATTTTATTCATCCTAACCTCACACTCTCTCAAGAACTAGAAAGATGTGTAAACACCAACACCCTGCATTGCTGCTCAGCAATACCACAGCTGGCTTTCTTTTCTTTTCTGTCCAGAAAGAGTGCAGAAATTCCAGAAAGAACTGCCTGTGGATCACTGCAGTTTGCTTCACCTCTGTCAAACAACCTTCTCAGGGATGCCTCCCACCTGTGTTACCTGAAAGCCAAAACCAGCCCCTGTAGGGTTGGTTGGCAGCTACAAAATCCTCTGCAGAGCCCATGGTCTGCAGAAATGTAAATCCTCTTGGGAATACCCAGGGGAAACCTGTTTGATTTTCCTGATACCCTAAAAACAAGCTTTAAATGTGGGTGGCAGAAGTATAAAAGAATATATATATATATATTTAAAATATATATATTTATATTTATATATTTATTTTTATATAATATATATAAGAATAGAGAAAAAATATATAATATATTATATATAAATATACACACATATACATAGAATATCTTTTCAATAAATGAGACTTTCCAAGTGAAAGGAAAAGAATCTAAAAAAGGGAATCCTACAATATTTACTGCAGCAATACTGTCTAAACATATATTATGCAGAGAACTACTTTCTGAAGACATTTTTGAACCTTGAAGGGAAATAAAAGCTCTATATGAATCTTTAATCTTATAATATGATACAGAAGTATGATGAAAAATACACAGTTGGTGGCATCCCCACCCAAAAACCCACAAGAGAATACCAGGAGGATATTGTGTGAGTTGAACAGACTAAAAGTTATTTGTTAAGAACTATGAAAAAATATCTTTTGCAATTTTATTAGGGAGTGTTTATAAATTCTCTGGCACTGTGACAGCTTTGGAATGGTCACTTCAGGTACAGTCAGGTTTGCTCTTTTCACAAGAAAAATATCAGACCTGAAAATGAGAAAATGTGCTGGCAATAAACGGAAGTGGGACAGGGGAAAGGAGACTTTGTGTCAAAAATTCCATGGCACAAGAGAAGACAATGATCTGGGACAGCTTTCTGATCTTTCCAAGTGCTGAACTTCAGTGGAAAGAACATCAAATTAGGTTCATAAAACATCAGGATTTCCAGTGCTGTGGAAGTACCACCAAAGCTGGGCTGGTGGAGGAAACAGGAGAATAAAAGGATTTTTTTAAAAAGGAAAATTATGTTTTTCTGGCAAATCACAGCTTTGAGATCTGCCTTGAAATTGTGGCCATAATTTGCTGTTCCTTTACTTTATTATAACCAGTGTTTCTTCCTGCTACTGCTGGAATTTGCCTCCCAGCTTCTGGGGGAAGCTCTCGGGCACAGCCTCCCTTTGTACAGCTCAGAGTGTGAGAGGTGTGAGCACAGCCTATTCCAGATGCTGTAACTTCACTTCCTTCACTTTCCTGGACTTTTTGGAGTCCCACCTCCCTGCTGAGGATGCTTCTAGATTTGTTTCAAAAGTGGCAGCTGCTCTGCAGGGAATACCCAACCCTGAGCTGTATGAATCCTGCCTGAAAGATCTTTCCCTCAGGTAACTGGATTTCATCTCCAGAAAAAAATACATTCATTATTCAGGACAGAATTCAAACAGGTATGTAAGTCATTAAATGCAAAGTCCTTTTGGGATAATTGCTAGAGATGAACTGAAATGTGTTGAATCACTAACTAAAGTTTAACATATGTCTTCTGTCTTGCACGACACAAGACATCATTTTGCAAGAACAAATCAAATTTAAAAAGTAAGTATAAAGACCTTCACCCACCCCAAGATCTTCAGCAATACCAGCCCACAGTGAACCTCCTATAAATCCTTTATTTTCAGTGTGATTTTTGGTTGTTTTCTACACTAAATATAATTGTTTCCCTAAATTGAGGGCATGTTGATCTTATCTCACCCAGGAATTAAGAGCAGCCTGTTTTCTTTAATAATAACTTCCACCCACCAAAGCCAGCACACATGGCAGATTCATCAAATTCATTCTTCAGCTACATGAAGGAAGAAAATTTCAAGTCCAGCTCAATTCACACGGACATTAATCTGCAGCCTTGGAGACTGCTCTCTTACCATCCTAACACCTCAAGGCTTCCTTAACAGTGTAAGTCACTGCAGAAAGCCCCAAATGATCATCTTTTCCCCTGCTCACCCCAAGGAAAAGGTGTCATTTTGCCTGGACTAAATACACTGCCAAGGAAAGTACTCTGCACTTTGTTGTCAGGAGCAGGCACACTGATGTGCACTACTCCAGAGAGAGCTGTGGGACAGAAACACTGACACTGCTCTGAAACAAACACTGACACTGCTCTGGAAAGCCCTTACTCAGCTGCAGAGGTGTGATGTCCTGGGCTGACCTGGGAGCTGGCACTGGAGGTTGCAGCATCCACATTCTCTGAGAAAATTCCTTTGCCCAGGATTTTTCTCCTGGGAAGCTGAGAAGCCTCAGAGAAAAGGAAAACAATTCTTATCTCATTTACTTCTCCTGTGTTTTGCTCCTTTGGAATGTGTTTGGAGATTGTTTCATTGGTTTCTGATGTGAATTATTTTGACTCATTGGCCAAGCTGTGTTGGGACTCTGGAGAGAGTCGTGAGTTTTCATTATTTTCTTTTTAGCATTCAGTAAGTATCCTTTCTGTATTCTTTAGCATAGTATAGTATTCTTTAATATAATATAGCATCATAAAAGAATAAATTAGCCTTCTGATAACATGGAGTCAGGTTCATCATTCCTCCCTGTCATGGGCATCCCTACAAATACAATAAGAGGTC